TCGCTCTCTCCCAAACCCCTCGTTCTCTTGGGTGACTTCAGCCTCCACCTCAATTCACCCTCCATTACCGCAGTTCTCCATCTCTCCAAGCGGTTCCTTTAATCTCCACTTTCTTCCATTCCCTCCCTACCCATACACCAGGCAACATTCTGGACTTAATTTTCCTCTGCGATTGCACAGCTTCCCCCATCACCGCTGAACTCCACCCCCTTCCGATCACCTTCTCCCACTTTGACCATCACGTTGCCCTCTCCTCCCACCTCTATCCCCCCACCCCCTCGCCCCATTCTTCATCGCAATCTCCCTATTCTTGATCCATCTTTGCTGATCTCCATCTTATCATATTCACCAGATGATGCCTCTTCTGCGCTCGCTTAGCAACTCTCTTCCTCTCTCGACACTCTTGCGCCTCTGCATTCCTTTCCCCCTATCCCCTCGACCCCCCCTCGGTCACGACTTTCTCTCTTAAACATGACCGGTGCTCGGTCCACAGAGCCGAGCGCTGCTGGACAGCCGATCCCTCAGCGCAGATTCACGTACGTCGCCTTTCTCTTCTTTCGAAATTTCTTTCAGATCACGAATATGCGAAAATCAGTCGTACTTGATATACCTCATCTCTTCGCTTGCCCCACACCCTCGTCTACTCCCTCTCCACCATCAGCAACTTCCTCCATCCCTCCTCCCAATGCCCTTCCTCTCCTCCCAATTGCCCCTTCCGTTCTGGTCTTCTCCCACTATTCCTCTTATAAGATTGAACTTATTCGGTCGTCCAACGTGTCTAACCCCTGCCCCCCCCCCCCCCCACTGCTCTGTCTCTTGCCCGTTCCTCTCCTCTATGCGCACACTGTCCCTCCTATCTCCACCTTCACCCTGACTTCTCCTGGCTGAGCTCTCCATGGTCATTTCCAGAACTCACCCAACCTCTCCCCCCCCCCCCCTCTTGACCCCCATCCCTGCCTACCTTCTTCCTTGCCTTCTCCCTCTTTATCTTTCTCTACCTTGAGACTCTTTTTTAACTCCTCCCTCTCCAACGGTGTCTTCCGCTCCACCTTCAAATCCTCCATCATTTCTCCTCCCCTCAAAAACCCTTCACTTGACCCCACCATTCCTGGCAATTACCACCATTTCTATTTATTTCGCCTTACTTTAAAAAAATTCTGGAACGTCTTCTTCATGAACGATTCTCACTCCGAAATTATTCTCACTTCCTCTGTCCCCAATTCCAATTCGGTTTCCGCCCTCTCAATTCCACCGAAACAGCCCTCCTCAATGTCCAGCACCATCTAGCAAACACACCTTTCCAAACTCCTTCAACAGAAGCTCTATAACTGTTTTAAATATGAAAGTGCGCTGGACCTCACGATGAAAGTGCACTGTAAAATGAACCAATTTACATAATTGGCCAGAGTAATGCATGTGTGTCTATTCTGTGGCTTGAATCTGATGTGATAATTTCCCTCAACCTAATTAATATTGTGATTACTATTAAATACTAGTTTTTTTCCCCCTGAAAGTCCTGCTTGAGAAATAATCTGTTCAGATCTCTTGCGGAGCAGTACAAGCCTGCATGTTAGAGAATGGTCCATGGAAGTGGAAACCACGAAGCTACTTCTGATATTCTTTCAAGTGACCTCAGATATACACGATGGGGGGCAACACTTTCCCGTCCACCCCATCACAACAAAGTAATGTTTGTCAAAGTAAGTGCAGAATCACATTTAATATTTTGGGGATTTTGTGGTGATTGGGTTGAGAAGATCAGCTAACTACACTTTGGAACCGAGTTTCATCATTGGTGGCCGCTTAGTTTCGAGCCAAGAATTTCAGAAGTTGCATCTCAGCGCTCTAACCTATGACCTCTGAGTCACCTGGATGCCTGTTTTGAGTGTTTCTTTAATTAACACATGAGGGAGTAATGTATTAAATTGCATTCATATGTTGCACACTCGAAATGAAGGACGTGGGCAGGTGCTCCAAATCGAGGGCAAGCACATTTATTGTGGTTAATAGCAATCTTGTGAAGAACAGCACCGTCACTCTGTAAAATGCAACAGCACGTGTTACAACAGCATTTCTTCCGAGTCGCCATTAACCATGTGGCTGGTTTACACCGTTACACGTGCAGTTATTCAATAACCCTGCCAGCCACCTACAGGCCCAACTCAGTCATCACATGCTGCTGTACACACATGCATTGATGCACTGCACAGCACATCAGGACTTTCACAGAACCACACTTTACTCCCTTACTGCACAAGGATATAATTAAAAGAGTGATCCATTCCTAATGTGCCACACATGCACTTCCACTGCAAATCCTGTTTGCTGACAATCACGCTGATTTTCTAGGTTTATTAACAAATATTGGCTGGCCATCACTTTTTATTGGCTTTGAATTTCGTGGGAATGTAAAAAAAGATCGGGTGTGAAGTGACATTTGCCGAGAGAAAGACCTCTCTGTGAAGAACGAACACGACCCCTGTTTGCTGTGCCAAAAGGCCTTGTGCTAGGGTTTGGGTTGCCACCTCTGATGTAAAAAGAAACCCTGGGCATATCAAGAGGGGATAAATACACTTAAATGCATTGTCTTGAGCGGTGTATGACTATGTAACTAACAAAAAAACTGGACTTTTAATGTCCTAGGAAGATTTACAGATTTCGCAGGACAGTGGTCTTGAAAAGAGAAAGATCCGGGGAAAAACTAGGACAGGTGGCAACCCTAGTGAAGTCTGAGCCAGCGTGAAACAGAAACAATCGGAGGAAAAATTGCAATTTACAATATGAAGCGTGCGGATTTATTGAATTGATGCACACATCAAAGTGGCAATAAGCCAAATGCTGCCAATGCATATTTGTATTCAGTTGCATTAAAGAGTCATGTAATTTTTCTTATTTTTCTACCTACTTGACTTTACCGAAATAACCAAAGAGTATGGATTCCTGGAGTCACGAAAGCTTCAAATCAAGATTTTCTTAAAAGCCTTGTAACAGAAAACTCTTCTTATCTGCGACCCAATTATGCATAACTCCTATAATCCATATGAGCTGTAGTGAAAACTCGTAATCTGTGGCCATATTCTTCATATTATGTGCGAATATCCAGCGTTTTTCCTGTCCCGCTTTTGCAGAATGGATTCCTATTTGGATATTATTTTTGCGGATGAGAGGAATTGTGTGAAAATTTTAGTATTTTTATATCCCGGTTATAAAATTTCCGGCCCACATCGTCGCAGATAAGAGGTTTTGCTGTGTTGATAATGTTGGTTATATAATTGTTATAGATGTTAATAAGCAGTACAATAATCGTAATTCCAGCCACGGTATGGTGAACGCGAGATGCTGTTTCAGAAATTAATTTCAGATTTTCTGCATTGATTAGTTATTGTAATAAGCATCTCCATTTGCACTAAAAAAATCAATATCGAGTCACCAGAGCCAGAGATCACAAATACTATATTACATGCAGGCCAACAGTTTAAACTTGCATTGCATATTTTAAGTATGAGAAACCAATCATAGATTTTAAACCTGATATTAAAAAAAAGTAAAATGCTCATCCACAATCATCCCATATGATACACTGTTTAAAATAACAATGCATAAATTTCTAAATCAAATCAAGTATAATATTGTTTAGAAACAAAAACACACGTGTGTTTAATAAATGTATTTGATTTGCGCCATATATATTTTTCCTGCTTATACGCACGAGTGAGATGCATTGTGACTTCACACGACCAGGAGACAGCATGAGGCCTTCATCCAGCAGCGGATAGACAATATCCAACGATTATTAGGGCATATAACAGAGGATTCCAACAATTAAGCAATGCTATTTATACATTTCGATAGATCGCTGCTGACGATGATTATTATTATATTTTATGACAATAATTATTACGACAATAAAAAAAAACCCACATTCGTGTGTTTGCTCAAGGTCAACAGACAGAATATAAGGTAACAACACTCAACGCAACCGTTTTCGTCCAACGATCGGCGCCAAATTACGTAATTCTTTCGCTTAAAAAGAATCGCACGAACCAATTAATGGCATTTCGTTGAGCGATGCGAGCAGGCCCGTCGTCATGTGTGTCAGCCCGCCCATGTTAATAACCCCCTTTTGGGATGGATCGGAACCCTTGCGGTGCCAAAATGTCCCCGGCGGTCTTTGCCCCGCGGCTCATCTCACTTTCTGTGCACAGCCGCTTGCAGTGTTTGTTCGTGTGGAGACTGCCTGTCTGCTCGTCGCCTTTGCAGCCCACTGCTACTTTTGCATGGCCCCGTTGGCACATCTTCCTGGATGCAGATGAAACGCTTCCCGTGTGGCCCTTGTGCTCAGGAAGCCAAGGGATTTTATATGGGTTACTTATTGTACATCACGGCTGAGTGATAGAGCAGTATACTCCCAACTCGTGCCCCTTTCAGACATTTGTCACAATTTTTATTTAGCCCTTCAGGAGCCAAAAAGAAGGAGATTCCTACAAATTAGCAGTGTTATTTGTTGACAATTATTATTATTGAGGAGTAAAAAAACTAATCTTATTGATGGTTGGTATTATAATTGGTGTGTATAATTGATGTGAACTCTCATAGGAGCTGATGTAAAATGAAATGAAAGTACATTTACACGTGAATATATCTTCAAAAATGCCTTGATTTCAATGCTTGACTATATATATTGTGTTGTTTCAATTATTCAAAACTTGAATATAGTCTTACATGGCTACCAGTTATGTAACAGTATTAAATTATATATCAGGCCCATAAAGCAAATACCTAAGAGTTTATATTCCCAGAATGTGTGAAGGGCACCATTGCAGTGCACCCCCAAAGCTGTGAAATATTTTATTTAACTATAGATGTTTGCAGAGGGATGCAGAGTGCTTGGGTCAGGCGTGACCACTATATACCATTAAGTATGGAAAAAAAAATCAATATTTCATGAGGTATGGCACGTGGAAATTTGCACATAAGCCTATTGAGCAAGCTTGAACGCGAGCCAAGTAGGCATCAGTCACGGGAAGTGGAGACAGTCATAAGGGGCATCCCGTCGTCGATCTGCACATTGCGGTGCTGTAGCGTCTCTTCCTCTGTGAGTGCTTTGCCTCTACAGCGCATCATCATCATCTGCCTCTTGTAACCCTCGTGTTCAGCCGGCTACACCTGCTGCAGCCATGCATGCTCTACTGCAAGGTCTCCTGCTTCTCGCTGTGCTCCACCTCTCGACACAGAAAAGTGAGTGCAGCAAGCGCCAATTTTCGGGCCGCTTTTGTGGGTTTCATGGATGAATGGTTATAGATTTATATTTCGGGTGCGTATGTTTTTTTTTAAAAGCCTCATCAATTGACACAACTGTCCACAAATCTCGGATATTTTTCATCCATTGCTGAGTTCACAGTGACTGCTTTCGTTTTATTCCAGGCACATTCAAATTATTTGCAGAATGTCATCAATGTTAACCTCTGAAAGGTGACCATGCAAAGCAGATCTGAAGTCCCTGTGAATGAAATAAGCAGGGTTGCAGATTGTTCGGATAGGTTGAATTATATATCATTTTCAGAACTAATGAATGCTATTACATCAAGCTGCTAAAATGTGCATGCACCATTGGGTAGCTCTTAATGGAGATCAAGTACGCAGTCACACAATGCAGTGGGGGTCAAAATTAAACGAATTGCCTGCCCAAATATTTACACGTGACTTTTTTTATCTCTTTGCGGAATACCGTGTGAGAATTGCAAAAAAGAAACAAACATCACTACAAATTTACAACCAGTGAGGCACCTACTGAATTCCACGAAGACTTGTAAGTGGCGTGTGCAGGAGCTCAAACGCGTTTTAATCCGAATGGGGATTTGTAGAAATTAACGGTGCAGTTTCAACACAGAAGGGATATTTTGGTTTACTTTCATTTGGGAGTCTAGCCAAATTTGTAGTTATAAACTACATGAGCACGAGTTAGTCATTAGGGAGTACATTTTGAAGGGGTTCTTATTTCCTAACATTCTTACAGACTTGATTTGAAGCTTTTGTGACTGTCGTCCTCAGGTAGGACATTCCACCTGAAGACGATTGCTTGTGTGGCCATCGAAACGTCGTGATATATTATTTTTTCTACCTACGTGACTTTTACCGAAAGAACCAAAGAGTATTCTTACAGACTTTATAAAATTGTAGCCAGTTGCAATCCTCCAGGATATGCGAAGATTTTGTTGTGCAGAATAATTTAACAATATTACTTGAATGCATTTAACAAAAGCGTGATTTTCCTCCAAAGCACGTGACCCATGTGATTTGGGTTTTGTTGTTGTACAGTTGCTGGTAGATGATGGGCACACACAAAAACGCTCCAACGCATTTGTTGTAGGGATCTATGTCATTCGCTGGCAAACCCAGTGCTGTACTTCATCATGGCCCAAATGCCTGAAGCAGGAACCTCCTAAAAGAGTCTTCATATACTGGTATAATTATATTAGCAATTGGTATTGTGGAAAAGATGTTAACTACCTCGTCTGGTATGCAGGAGGTCGTGGGTTTGATCCCGACCGCTGACGCCTGTTTCTTTGAATTTGCATGTTCTCCCCGTGGTCATGTGGATTTTTCTCCGGGTCCTCCGTTTTTTCCCTCCACATTTAGAAACAAGCGTTTAGAGTATTTAGCTGCTATAAATGTTGCACGCGATAAGCCACTTCATCGGGCTATCATTTGTGGTCAGGTCACTTCTGAAAAAGAGCTATATAGCTCAGTAGGCCTTACCTGCTAAAATATTTTTTGTTAGCTTAGTTTAAATAATTTAGTTGTCTTGTTGTTATCGTGTAGGTTTATTTAGATTATCCTAGGGTGAAATGAAGAGAGGGACTTTGCAACATTTCTTTTGTTTGAAATTAACGAGCGGTGGGGTGGTGCCGAGTGGTAGCAACGCTCGTGCCTCGCGATTCGCAACTCGCACGCCCTTCTGTGTGAAGTCTGAATGTTCTCCTCCCTGTTCTGCATTGGGTTTCCTCCAGGTTCTCTGGTTTCTGGTATTGGCCAAATAAACACACCGCTGCAAAATGACATGCAAAATGCTCAATTAGCATTGCAGCACGTTATATGAATGTCACCCCCTACGAAGACAACTGGGCAGGACACTCCTGAAAAGGAGTCTGGAGACTAAGGGAGGCTTTCTTGGATAAACAAGCATAATAATGATGATCTGTCCGTGTTACAGTCATTTTGCACGTTCGTAGTCGTGCCTTGTTTGAAGATAAGTATAATGGTGATGATTAGCAGCTCGTGAGAGGGATAAAAGGGGACAATTTTAAGCAAAGTCAATCTGTATACATCTAACTAAACACAATTTTTGGCAAGGATGGAACTTTTATTAAATTAGATATACTCCACCTGACGCATGCATTAGAATACCAGCCGTGCCTTGAGCCTGTTAAGCATATTCTAAATGGAATTGTGTACATTGAAGGTGTCGTCCCTATGCCGCTGTATTTTGCGGTCGGTTGTGACCCCCTGGTAATGCTGCTGTCGACCAGGTCTCTACGACAAGCCGCTCGGCTATGGAAATGGACAACAGGTTCGATACCAAGGCCGAGGAATTGGCGGCTACGGAGGAGGTACAGTACTCCTAGAGGTCCATGGCATCCATCTTGTCTACCGTGGTCCATTGCATTTGTCCCTCCAACTCAGTGGTTCTTAACCTTTATTGAGGTACCGAACCCCACCAGTTTCCTATGCGCATTCACCGAACCCTTAATTGGAAAAATAGAATATGATTTTTTCAAATTCAAAACATAGGTATATGTTTTACTAGTGCACAATCATATGAGTCGGGTGTGTGTCTTAACCTCCACCGAACCCTTGAGACTGACTCACCGAACCCCTGGGGTTCGATCGAACCCAGGTTAAGAACCACTGCTCCAACTGTCATCACCGTGGGCTCCATTACACCCAGGAAGTCGTTATTCAGTGCCACGCTGAGCAAGCGACCCCGTAGCATCGTGGCAGAGGAGTGCGGGGAGCCTGGAGGGGGCTTAGCTCCCCCCCTCCTGCCCCCTTCTGATTTCTTATAGTCGAGTTAAAAAAAATGTTTGTATAGTAATTTACATCATTGGCAACATTTTTCCATTTACATAGTGGCTTGGGGGTTGGAGCAGATGCACAATAAGAGACATTTTGTTTAAAATGTGTTTACCTTTAACTGTGTTGGGTCCCCCATGTGTCTTTGTACACCCCAACTCTGAACAAGGTCACATTACACGGATTTCAATTCTGAAGTCAAGCCTGTAGCTGGCTCTTAGTGCAGCTATGAGAGCCTTGCAGTTACTTAGCATTGCACCTGCGTGGTGCAGTAAACGTAACTGTCATCACGGGCACCACCTGACTGTTAATGAGAGAGACCATGGAATTGACACAATACCCTATGGTATTCATAACATTCAACAAACCTCAATCCATCTGCTTTGTGAACGTTGTGGCGTTATCATCAACATCAGGCCAGGATCAATCCAGTGCTGGATGAATGTCTCCCCAAGCCATCACTACCTCGCGTTATCCTCTGATGTAACAATCCACAAAGCATCGGAACACGAGCTGATTTTATCACTCCATCTCGTCGTTGAATGTCCTCGAATGTGTTCTATTTCTTGGCTTGTTACAAATATTATAAATGTTACAAATGTGCATTAATGTTGTTAATATTGTTTCATATGCCATGTTTTGCATTGATGTTGCTACACATGACCTTTTATCCACTAATTACTCGTCACTGCAAGACATGTGTACTGCCGAAGTAGTACAAAGAAAATAAACTTTGATATACATCCAAAAAAATCTATTGGGATTTGAACTAATATTTAATGCTTTTCATGTAATGGAGCGAGAGTACAGTGGTCATTGCACTACACTATGAACACCGCAACCTGAATATGATTGCTGGACACAGCTAACGCGAGTGGCGAATGATATCTGAACTGGTCGTGGACAGCCCCTTTACCAATTCCCACTATCCAGCATGGTGAAGTATGGTCACAGCCCCAGGACTAAAATATGTGGGGAGGTTCCACGAGGCAGTTTATTGATAAAAGGCTAAACGTTTTTTTATCGCTGTATGCGAGGCACACAAGATTAGAGTGGCAGCCAAGGAACGGAACGCATTCGAAAGGACATCTGCCGAGGAGATGGAGGGATGAACTAAGCTCATGTGCCGGCGATAGATGGATTATTGCATCGCAGGATCATGATGATACAGGGAGATTGCAGCGACTTGTGGAGGCCTTCATCCAGCAGTTGACTTGACGATGGCTGATGACAATGTACGTTGATCTTCTTGGTTCTTTCGGTAAAGTCACGTAGAAGGGAAATAATAAAATAAAATAAAATTTACATAATAAAATAAAAATTCTCACGACGTTTCGGCCACAACACAAGCAGCCGTCCTCAGGTGAAGGAACAGAGCTATCGGAAAGACAGCGTCCCAATGAACACCGCCAAGCTTGGCAGCGTATATTTAAGCTGGTCCTTTCGCATTGTACGTAGCCAATCGTGCTGATTGAAGATGCGGGAAATGACAACGACGACGATGATGATGATGATTGACTTGAGATTAGAACGTATATATTATAAGTTTGCTGACGGAGCAGCCTGGTATCCGAGATGAGAATGTGTCAGGTCCTTTGGGACGTCAAGGCTCTGCCAGGGAGCAAACACGTCCACCAGCCAGCGGAGTTACTATGGTTGCCTTCACAGTTTCGAGCTGGCAATTCCCAACATTTGTGACGGCTTAACGATGGCCTAAAATTTATCTGCTCACACTCTTACGCGATTTCGATCATATAGACGTTATGAAATATTTGCACCTGATATAGAACGTTTTTATTGCAATGCCGAGCAGCACAGACCAATTTCAATTCTAAAAGTGTTGTTGGTTGAGATCAAGTACTCAACGACAACAGAGCTAGCGTGCAACACAACAAAAGTAAATGTTCCTTCGCGAAAGTATGTGATTGTGTTGATTCTTCGATAAACCTAAAAAAATATACAGCCAAGGATAGCTGCCAGTGTTTAGATAGGATGTCTATTTATCTATTTTAGTCATAGTTAGTCTCCTTGATGACAAGTAGATTTTTTTGCCAAGTCTCAGTCTGTGGATTTCACAGTCATTCTCTTAGTCTAGTCGACTCAAGGAGTCAAACATTTAGTCCACTCTGAAGTACAAATACTAGTTGTAGGTTGTGTGCAATTCCCCACCATCTCCCAATAGAATCAAGACAACCAATCATTCAAATATGTACATACATATTATTATGATATAGCAAATTACCATTGTTCATCTTCCTCAGTGGAGTTGTAGTCTCTAATAAATGACCTTGCTATTTGTCTTCATTCAGACTCATTAATTTTGCATCATCAAAGTCAGTCCATTCTTTGGTCTTTGGTGGGTAGCAGCCGTAGTCATCGCCATGCTTGACGATTTTAGTCCACTCAAAGTCACCGTTGACCAAAATAACAACAAACAAAAAACGTCCCTGACGAATACTGTGGTCACTAATTTCCTTAACCAAATTAACACCGGCGGCTTGAATGTCCCGTTACGTTCTGCCTCCCTGTGCCAATGGAGACGGTGAAAGGTGGGCACTCGCTGTTGCGTCTACGTGTGACAGGCCGTGTTTAACTGCCGCTTGTCACCCTCCCGTAAGGTCAAGGATACCAAGGACAGGATGGAGGCTACGGCTCCCGCAGGCGGGGAGGGGTGAGAGGTGAGCAATCAGATGGACCACATTTATGTATTAACACAGGGACCGTCGCGTTTTCTCAAGGATTCAATACAGAACATTCCATCTGCTTAATGAGATTGTATATGGTGCACTCACTGTATTCAGTCTTTCCGGAATAAACTGCACACATATTTAATTCTCACGCGTGCATACTTCTGTATTCGAGTGTTTAGTTTGACAGCGGCAACAAGGGGGGGGGGGGGGAATGTAACTGGATGTCTGTTTTCCAATGCTTTTAAACATTTTCAATCAGCGCTTTAAGTATGGTATAAAATGGCGCAAATACTAAAAATTACTTATCATTTTTTATAATTCTCACTGCATCTCCATGCTAGCTCGCCAATGTATATTACTAATAATTTAATTGGAAACGTTTATTTATTAAAATTATTGAAATTGCTATTTGGTTGCAGCCATTCGCATGCACAGGGGACATTCCTAGCTAAATAATTCTCGAACGTCTCCCTGTTGATTATCTTCTTCAACCATCCATGTTTACTCCATTTAAATTTGTTACATTTCAATGGAATAAAACATCACGTGGCTTGGAGTGGAAATTTCTGTCAGCTCAGTTGTGGTTACTGACTTGCTCTGAAATTTTTAGATATTTTTTAATAATTCGATGAAGTGCAAATGCTGAAAAGTAACAGAGTACAATAGTCTACTTAGACTACAGTCGTGGTGATGAATGCGCTATTAATATAATAACATAGAAAATGACACTAGGGAATACACTTACGATCTTATCTACATATGAACAATTTAAAATATCTACATCATGGGACCTCCTTTGCCAGTACCAAAATATGAGAATGCCAGAAAAAAGGAGAAACAACATTATACATGTGTACAGCAACAACATCGGTGTTACCAATGTGGTTAGGGGTTTGCCCAATGTGGTGCACATACAGAGGTAATCCCCCTATGTGGAGCTACGTGACTGAGAGCATTGCTTCCATACACCCGCTCTCTACAACTAAATTCATCTGCGTTCTGCTGCTTTTTGACTGCAAACAGCCGACGGTCGGATTAAGTCTGGAAAGCTACACAACTTATGTAACTTGTCTTTTGTTTTAATGATTAATGACAGATTATGGCTACGGAAGGAATGGGAGGCTTGGCAAAGGACCCTGGTGCTTATGGTATGCTATCATTCCATGCTCAGTCGTTCCATGCGGCATCGTGTTTCCATTGTCATCGTGTTTCCATTGTCATCGCATTGATTTTGATGTGTAGGAAGGATCACTTTTAAATGGCTGAGATGAATGGGGTACGAGGCTGTCAGAGAGAGTGTGTACATTGCTGCTTATAGGGCTCCCATGCAAGCTGATACCGAGGCTCATGACATTTCACGACCATTAGAAAGCTCACAGAGCCCATTTTCATTTCACTATGCCTCTGCCTGTGATGGGGGATATTACTGCAGTTCATGATTAAACTTGCAAACATGAGCGGCCACTCTGATGTCATAACACGCCCATTAATTCCTGAATGCACACACAGGTTGACTCTGTGATTAGGAAAGTGCAGCATTCATAACACCACTCAATAATTACACCGGGATATTTTATTTTAGTTCCCAAAATAACGACCATGCAGTGCTTACCGATAATGATATTTTTTTGTGTGGGATGCTGCATTAATAAATGAATGCACATGAGCTGTCTCATGAACAAAGCACATGACAAGCTCTGCGGACAACCAGCGTTTTACGGATAGCTCCTAACCCCAACTCCAATGAACGTCAGCGAAGATCGTTCGTAATTATACACAGTCATGTTGTTGTTGTTTTCTTGCAAGTGACGACTCTGTGTTGTAAGATATCTGATGCCCCGTGTTTAAAGGTGGGCTTGACGGCGGCTTTGGCGGTGGTGGTTATGGTGCCGGTGGTTATGGCCCTGGCGGTGCTGGTGGCTACGGTGCCGGAGGATATGGAGGTGGCGTTGGTGCCGGAGGCTATGGAGGTGGCGTTGGTGCCGGAGGCTATGGAGGTGGGCCTGGTGCCGGGGGTTATGGAGGTGGCCCTGGTGCTGGGGGCTACGGTGGAGCTGGAGGGCTGGGCAGGTTCGGTGCGTAGCCTGTGCATTCATCCCGCATTTAGCAGAAAACCTTCTTTGCCTATACTGTTACATTTACTGATGGTGCGAACCAATGGGCTCGAGATCAAGTATGAGTGCTGGCAGGCATAATTCAGGGTGTTTTAAAAAGATGGACCCGATTTGAAATCTCTATATCTCTGCAACCACGAACCGCCCATGAATGAAACTCTTACCACTTGAAAGGGCGGCGCATAGAGTTTCAAATGATTACCGCTAGATGCCTCTTCCCAGCGCACAAACAGCCCCTAGCCTCAGTCATTCGCAAGATGGTGACCCCAGCAACACACAAGGGGCGTTTTGCGTTCTGCAGTTCAGCAAGACTGAATCCGTAATTGCGGTGCAGCGTGCGTTTCAACGGCGTTTTGGCATTGATCCGCCAATGTCAAAGAGCATTCGTCGTGGGTACCGACAATTTGAGGAAGCAGGCTGCTGTTTATGTAAGGGGAAGAGCATAGGGCGACCATGCACCTCAGAGGAAAACGTGAGAAGAGAGGCGTTTGGGACGAATTCAACTATTGTCTCGATGTTGTCCGTACAGCAGGTGGAGGGCACATAGAGAATTTATAAAATGGTTAGTAAAACTTGATAACTCATTAAACTGTTTGTAACTTTTGTGTAATTGTAACATGTTGCCATCGTGAAATATACTGCTTTGAAATTGGGTTCGATCTTTTTAAACACCCTGTAAGTGGGTTGTCAGTATGTCATCGATAGTCCTCAGAAGATATATAGTAATTGTCAGTTTCAAAAATAAAATTTTCCCTGATTTTGTATTTAAGTAAAAACGAGTGGCTGATTTCTCAAGAAATTATATTTGACAATAAAATGTAACAAAACAATTACGTAAAAAAATGTAGTTGTTTACGTCTGTCAAGGCATTGGTATTTTTGGTAATTGGTTGGCTTCGTGAACTGTAGCCCGTAATGAATAACTACTGTCATATGGTTTTGGTTGCACTTGACAGACATTACGTACGTCACACACGACCCCATTGTTAAAGACATCAACAGTATAAATGTATTCAATATATGATGACAAGGAATATCATTATTATGGGCAGTTGCATGGATGGGAGTTGACCGATGATATTACTGTCATCAACTTAACTTGGAATCGGCGCAATGGCAGATATGTGAATGCATACTAATTGCATTTACCGGGTGACAATGGTGGTGACTATTTTTGCAGGAGGTGGATACGGGAATCTCCGTGGTCAAAGAGGACAGGGCAAAGACAAGAGTATGTATCACCATGGAATCACGAAGTAAAAGATCACCTTCAGAAAGACAATTTACAGTTCTATAAGAGGACAATAATCTGTTATTCTATTGCATTCAATGAAAACATGCAGTTGTTTACTGTCGCCTAATGAATATATCTGTTTAATAGTTCACATTCTTGATACGTTCGTAGGGTTTGCATTTTGAGTTATTTAGAGATGCATGGAAATGGTGCACTCCAGACTGATGCAGGAATCAGAAGGATTGCGATGCCTTATGCTTAATAATACTATTAATTGGAATTAATATAGCATCTTAATACTACCAAGCATCTCAGGATGCATCTCAGATGCTGTATAGGAACAAATATTAATATCAAATGATGTGGATGAAACATCACATGTCTTAGAAACTATCGGCAGTCACCTAGCATACGTGAGATATGCTCTTAAACTGTAAATGTTGAGTATTAAAGGGTTGCCAGTGTAGACATTGCTGCAGCTATTACGAGTTATTAGATAGTAAACTAATGTTTGCTCAGAGCAAACGCTTCTCGTTTTTAATAAAATTCCTATAAATCAGGGAAAACAAAAATAGTCGGGATCTTTACAAATAAATTTAAATAAAGAAAATGTATGTAGACATTTCATCAAGAGTACATTCGAGGCAAATTTTAGTTCATTCAAGAATGTTTCACTAAATCACGTCTATATTTCATATTAATTCCTTAGAGAAATATGTCACCATGGAAGATGCTCTTCCCCGAGTTGCGATTTAGCCCTTTTGCAATACTGTAGATATGTTCACCCTCCACTTAGCAACACCTAACCCCAAGGCGTCCATGCATTCCATCGCTGCCCATCAATTCCATGCTCTCCATCTTTAGACGCAAAGCAAAGTCATGAATATGCGTCAACTCCATGACATGCAGCCATTTCCCCACGTGTGTGTGATGTGTGAAATGCTCTTGAGCAGGCTATGGGGAGCAGCAGTACCCTTTTGGCGCTGGCGGGTACCCGCAACAAATGAGCAAGCGTTACGGTAGGCAGCGCAAAATAGATTTGTTTTGGATTTAAATGCATCACTGATGTCTGTAAGTGGTGGAAGTTGCTGTGGTCCTCTAAGCCGGGAAGGGCTTATAATTCAAGTGGGGTGTTTGCACACCAAATGTACACGTTGACCTCGATTGCCTCAAATCTATCAACAAAGTAAAGGTATAGCCCTGCAATTGCTTATTCATAGGCTACATATGTACATTCGACACATTTTTTATGGCAAGAAAATGTGGATGTTTAATCATTCGTGGGAAGAGTTGGTGATGGTGCAATGGCGCTGAACTCCAAAACGTCTATCAAGAATTTTCATGTGAAGTTCCATATCTGCTACATGTAAAAAAAAACATGTCATATTATTGGCTACAGCATGTGGTCTATAGGTACAGTGAAGGTAGAAATTTCACCATGGACAATTAACATCTTCATCAGACGGGAAGTGTTTATTTTACAGGATGCATGACATAACTCCTGATATGAATAAAAAATAGCATTACCGTAACTTCTTGGGAACTGCAATTGATACCAAAAGTTCACAGAACATTTTGTCCTTTTGTGACATAGTCCGGCTCAATTGCTGGGTAGATGCTAAGCCGGCACTATGGTCACACACGTTTTATGTGCCGCCCTGAAAATACAGGGCAGGGCCTGGGTTATGAAGGTGCTGGAAAGCAGAAAGGTAAAGGTAGGTTTCTTCCCTTCACTGACCTCCGCAATGCAATGCAACACACCTGAAGGGTAGACGATGTGCCTGCCAATGTGTTCCTCCATCAGAAGACTGTCAGGTAAATGGTGTTTTAAATCGTGTGTTAGTGTGTGGTGTGCCATTTTTTGTCATTTTTTTGTTCTTCTTTGCATTTGCTTCCATTTTTTTTTTGCAAATTGTCTACTTGATTTGCACGGTGATGCATGTGGGGTAAGAGGAGAAGCTGCCTTTTCAGAATGTCTATCACCCCGTCATTCACCGTTCTAATGAAGCTTTATCTGGAGATCTTTGCCTGAGCTAATATGTTGCGTTTTTAGAGCATTAATTATTCTACTGACAAACTTGATGTAAATATATATTTATGGCATTGGGAAGAGTGCTTTAACTACAGGGAAATATATAAGTAATGATATTTCAACACTGTATTAGCTTGCAATGTAACTACATTTTAACGTGCAATATACTTACAACTATATATTTTTTTCACGAAGAAAATAATTCAATATCTGCATTCAATTATGGCAATATCTCCATGGAAAATTCTTTGGTTAACAATTGAGCGTGTGGTAATGCATGCTGTTGAGCAGCATTTTACTCATTTGCGAGAATATAAATTAATCTCCATATTCCCCATTTTGCTGCTACTCACAGATGGCTATGGAGGAGAGGGCTTCCCTGAAAATGGTAAGAGGCTTTAAACCAAAATGTGAATTGTTCACATCTTAATGCGGTAAAGCATTTGACTTGTATCTGAGTAAAAAGTGATAAAAAAAACTAATTGACCTCAAAAAAATTAAATCAAACCATATTTTAGGTCTATAATGCAGTTTTTTTGGGTTAGATCGCATAAATATAAATGTGTCATTAAACCCGCCACCACCCGACATAGCCAATTATTAAGGTTTGTCACGCAAACAGAACATGCCAATGCATTACTCGTACAGCACACCGGTGTGTTGAGTAAATCCACAACATTACAATTTGAGTACGACGTTTCGCCAGTAATTACAACTAGCATCATCAGGCGACAGCCAAATTTGTGGAGAAATCCTCCAGTTTCACTCTTAAATAGAGGGATTTTAGGTTTCCTCAGAGTTCAAACATTTCTCATTGTTATAGTTTAGACATCAATGGCGATGTGTATACACCTAGGACCTATGTGATGTAAGAATGTTGTATGTTATGTTTTCCATTTTTTATTATCATTTATATTCGACAGTTGATGTTTAGCATTTTAAGTGTCTTATGCTTAAAAGTACCCTAAAGTTATAGACAAACACATCTTATTTGAACCCATGTAAATGTACTTTATCAGTATTTAATGTCTTAGGCATATATCTAAACAGACCCTAAGATTTTTTCTAAATAAAGTTTTTTTTCCTTCTGTTGATGTTTGTAATCACAAATATAAAACTAGAGAGCAGTCCATCCTACATAATACGGGGTGATGTGACAACTCACAAAACGCCGTACACCTGACCCTCACCATGCACCTGACACTCCCCACTCACCAGACATTATCATATTGTGTGGTGCAAATTAAATTCCCTATAATTTCTAACGGAGTGTTCTCAATTGCAAATAATGATGTAAGGACAATGGACAGACAGTGGTGTCTAAATATATACAATATTTCTACAATATTTCTACAATATTAAATTACTTATTTGGATGTACTTTTTTCACAGGTGGCCTTCATGGAGGAGATTCTTATGGTATAAAAAAACAACTTAAAATAAAACAATTATTTTTTCATATCATGTTGTTTTCTTCACGAATACTTCCTATTTCAATTACTGTAATTGTGTTCTTAAGCTGGCATACAGTATTGACACTACAGTATTTATTACGGAGCTAAAATGTATAATTGTGTGGATATGTTAAGTCCCAGGTCATTATTCTAAGTTTAATTCCACTCACACACCACATATCCTATTTTGGCAATTGCACGGATAATTACCGTGTATGCACGCCACCTAGTGGTGATTATTTTTTCTGATTTTTATATTCGTTTCACAGGTGACTACTTGTCAGACGACGGTGGGCTTGGATACCCTGGAGGTGAATTTCATGGTGGAAAACAAATGACTTGACACTTCAATGTTCTTTCCAATTCAGCAGTTAGCTAGCAAAGTGAAGGACAAAAAAAACTATTTCAGAATCATAAATCCGTATTTATTTATACTGCAGGAGGAATAGGATGAGCTATAATGCTCTTTTGCACAGATTTCCAGTCGGGGCCAGTCGAAAAGTTATAACAAACAATACAAAAACACGATAGGAATGAAAAGTACAGAAAATGTGAGCAAATCACTAAAACGTTTTTTTTATACTTTTTTTTCTTTTACCAGGTAAGCCTACTGAGCTATTAGCTTCCTTTTGAGAAGCGACCTAACCACAAATCATAGATCAACGAAGTGGCTTATCATGTGGAAATTTATAGCAGCCAAATAATCGAATATTTGTACACATCTGGAATTTGTACAAGGCTGCAATTTCTTTCCTTTAGTGTGTAATATTAATTTGCTTAACAAAACAAGGTTTTACCACAAATGTTAAACGTTGCTGCCACAACACAAATATGGTCAGATATGTCCAGTGTCTTGCTAGAAATATCTCCCACCCTCAAGTAATTGAAATATAAATATTTATAATTTCAAAAAGGATTATCATTTCAAAGGTAATTGTCTTGAACGTTTGTTAAATTTTAATACATGTTCAAAATGTACACTACTTGAGCAAATGAGTAGACACAAAATAACTCATAATTTGGTGGTGAGTACAATTCACATGCAGAAACTAGAATTTGAAGCTTTAAAATACAAGCGACACGCCACGACCAATTGCGAGTGCGTGGGAAATCCTTCTACCCCTTAACTAACCTTGTACAATGTACATGCATTCAGGTCAATAGTGTATCAGTATTAACGCCTTGGACACTTCGGCCTAATTCGAGCTTTCAACATAGTGACAAATATATATCACATTACCTAATTTACATATAAATTGAATATATTTGGCCGATGTGAAAGACATCCGTGATGGGTCCTAAAGGCCTTGGCTTTGAGAGCCACTGTTTTAATGCATGCTGACATGAAGTGAACCTAGTATAGAGCTTGAGAGACGCGCTTTGTCTGCTGCCCTGATTGTCTGTGGGATGTGGTGGTTTGACCCCCCCCCCCCCCACACTTTCTTGTAAACAGGAAAAGCTCAGCAGAAGAGATCTGGCAGGTTGGGTGGGGGAAAGCTGTGAATTGCTGGCTGCGGACATTACTCCTCCTGCACGACATGCATTTAACACACACACACAGGCGGATCTGCACAGGCATGAATTACAGGTTGTTTGTCCATCGTGAGGGTACTTCACAGGGAAAGATTTTGCCAGTATTGCAGGTCAACAGCTAATGAAGTGAACCGGTTTGTGGACGCTCATAAATTGTAGGCTTAAGGCAGATCTGCGCAGAGATGACCTTAAGCCATATCCCATTCCTTATGAGTAACACTTTTTGCGACAACAGGTGATGAAACCATAAACAGCCCTTGTGTCAGTAAAACCACGTTTTTATTTGAAAGCAAAACCAATCGCTTGCTTGTGACTTTAAAAGCGGTAAATGGTGATACAATCATTGCGCGCACTGTAAAAAAAAAGCCAATGTGTCACTCAACAACGGGCAAGGTGGACAGATCCATTCCTTCTTGTCCATGATTACCTACACATATATAAATGATATTCACTACAAATAGTCCACACCTTTCAATGCAGTGCCTGCTCGTCAAGAGTTTGTGTACATTTTGTATTGAGTTCCTAAGGCTCTTCGTAGCTGTGGCTTGGCACCTAACTTGTTCATCTTGTATTTTGTTCTGCGACATATTATATACAGGTCAGTGCTAAGAGAAAGATTTGGGATAATGTAGCGCACGTTATTCCCCAGTGGTATAAGTAATGCTTTAGGTAACATTTACACGTGTATTTCACCTTAACGTAGTGGTACAGCTGGCCATTTTTGTAGCCTTATATAGACCCGATGATTAAACAATGCTGTCTATTGTACGTGTAACAGTCCTTTATATAGAGCCGAGATCTATGCAATACAGTATTAACCCCAACACGCATTGAAACTTTACGTTTGGCAGTTTTGTACGCTTGTTGTATTCAATAAAAATGTAATGGTCCAAATAAACCCTGCAAAGAAACACAGCGGTCTGTGTTGTGCATGCCGATGCAAATATGAAGGTGAAGATGGAGCCCTGCAACTGCTTGCATCACTGTGACTGCTTTCAGGAGGTGCCACCAACTGGAGAGATATGTTAGAGTGCCTCTCTAGAGGGTGGTTTTACTGGTAGGAACCTCCTGGTTACACCAGCCCACAGGGGATTATTGTGTCCGTCGTGCAGGGAGGGGCTGGGTGGGGAGGGAGGGGCTGGGTGGGGTGGGAGGGGCTGGGTGGGGAGGGTGGGGAGGGGCTGGGTGGGGCTGGGTGGGGAGGGGCTGGGTGGGGAGGGTGGGGCTGGGTGGGGGGTGGGAGGGGTGGGGCTGGTTGGGGCTGGGTGGGGAGGGGCTGGTCACCCCGTGGTGCCCTTATACAACTCAACGTTTCACCTACTCACGCCGGCTTGTGCCCGCCCTCACAGTCGGGCATATTTGCGGAATACACCACGCCGCCGTTGACCCTGGCCATTGACCGAGCAATCCAACGTTCCTACCAGCTCTTCCACGCCAGCCAAAGGTGGAAGCACTCATACGTGTCACCATCGCACATCACCCGCTGATGGACTGTAGTGTACCCATTTTTATTTTTTTCAAAAATAAAATAGGTTTTAACCTTTCTGGCAAGAAAACAGGTGTTAAGATGTTCAAACAACAAAGAGATACCTTTGGCAAGGAATAAAGTCTGTCAGAAAGGGATAAAACCTATTCTAGTTTTTCACACTTTGATACTGGCAAAAAGGTCCCGTGGCATTTTTGTTTATACTGCGGGGTGAACAGCGGCGGTGGAGGAGGGATTCATGAAACTTGCACCACTGTTTCTACCTTGCCATGCTGCGAGAGACCAAACTATACGATTTCCGGATTGCAAGTCAGAATCGGAATATTTAGACTGGAAGAATCCGATCAGCTACGACGCTTTTTATCACAGATGTCCAGTAGAGTCCACTGTGTGCTTATCCATTTCTTACCAAAGCAGCATCTCTATGGTGGGTATTATATTAACAAGTAAGACGTACAAGGGCCCGTTTCAGAACATAACAGGATTTATTTTGTCTATCAGCCACTTGGCCTTGGAAACCAATAATACATTCCAGCCGCGCTATTGTGTTTAGTTGCTTGTCCTCCTCCCGCACCTCCGATTAGCAGAGTTGGATACGTACAATGCGAAAGAAGTTACACATACATACAAGAATACTGGATCGCTTATTTTTTTGGAGTCTCGTCTAAATATTTTTCGCAGATGTCCCATAGGGGCGGGTCAGCAAGTTACAACAGGAAACGATATTTTAACAAAACGATAGGAGTGAAAACTAGATAAAAAGGTTAGCAAGTCATTGAAAATATAAGAAAGAAAATCTGAAAATTGTGGATTTCACACCTGATGATGATTGCTTGTGTTGCAATCGAAACGTCGTGTGAATTTTTATTTTTTATATAAATATTATTTTATTATTTCCCTTCTACGTGACTTTACCGAAAGAACCAAGAATATGAATCCCTGCAGTCACGAAAGCTTTAAATCAAGGGCAACTTCATTAAAACAGCGGGGCCTGTTCAGACCGCTGTTCTACACAATGCTCTATTTATTATCTTACCGAAGAGTGGTGCTTTCCACACTGTGCCTAAATGGGGTGGCATAAAATAAACAAACGTCCCTTTAACTCATACAGAAAAGGTAAAGGCGCAACACTGAAATTACTTGCTCGTCCCTCTGCTGGGAAGGTTTAGAGAGCGACTCCAGACGGTATTTTGACTTTCTCTGCCACGCTGGGCAGATGTCTTGCTATAAGGCTGGGGACTGCAACAGTACTCAACACTTTACACAACCATCTGTGAAGGATGGATCCGTTGATAATTGCTTGGTTGGATAGATCGATACGGGGAGGGGGGGGGTTAAGAAACGCTCCCAATGTTTCATAATCAGAATACTGTATCTATACTCGAGGAATCCGATGAGCTATAAAGCTCTTTTTCTAATGAATGATAACTTATTCTTGGTTCTTTCGGTAAAGTCACGTAGAAGGGAAATAATAAAATAATAAAACAATTAAATTCTCACGACGTTTCGATTGCAACACAAGCAATCATCATCAGGTTGCAATCGAAACGTCGTGAGAATTGTATTGTTTTATTTTTATTATTTCCCTTCTACGTGCCAGGGATGTTTTTTTTACATGCTCTAAATACCAAATCATCTTGAATGATTTCGATTTCACAGCGAGGAAGACTTAATCCTGTAGTACGTGGATGAGGGGCCACCATGCATCAGCATCAGTGCTGCTGCAGGTGTTCATATAGAGTGCTGTTTGGCTGGGTTGTGGACAGTGCATAAAACTAACATTGCACCGTGCATCTATGCTCACCGCCTGCACTGCCTAGCGCGGTGAAGTATGCTTAAACTAACCTCCACGGCCTGGGAAAGCCCTAATCTACCAGTAGATTGTCAAAGTCTGTGGATGTACATTATGGGTTTGTTCTTTTAAGCATCGTAAGTTCTACACCAGGGTATATATCTCAGGTGGTACACATCAGGACCATCACCAATATAAAATTGGAGCTTTTCATATAATTTTTTTAATAAACAAAGCCTGGCACAGGTTAACAAAAACAATCAAGATTACCAACCCAACCAACCGATACTACATAAATTATACAAATTATTTAGTGATACTGCGTTGGCAGAGCGATGGACAAGCACAATGAACACAACGCAACACATGTGTCCATAACGCTTCCTTAAAATAAAATATTGATTCGGGAACGTTTCGGTGAATGGACCTTCTATGCAGCAGGGCCATTGCCCGAAACGTTGGCGATTAGGCATTTTTTGTTCTCCCTTTTCAACACAGCATGTACACACAGGTACAGTAGTTGTTATTGGCGAACGCGGTCGTTCAGTCGTTAAGCTCTAAATCGCAGCGCGTTGCGTCTCATCGGAACACGTGTTGGGCAGGGCTGTTCCAAAGCGGGCGTGCCATCCTCAACAGCTGGTTTCCATCAGGGAGGCGGGGCCACTCGACGAGGGGGCGGGGCCTCGACAAGAGGAGGAGGAATTTTTCGATTTAAAGCTTTCGTGACTGCAGGGATTCATCTTCTTGGTTCTTTCGGTAAAATCACGTAGAATGGAAATAATAAAATAAGAGAAAATATTTATAATTTTAGTATTTCCATTCTACGTAGAAAGTCACGTAGAATGGGAAAAAACATGTATTATTTTATTATTTCCATTCTACGTAGAATGGAAATAATAATAAAAGAAAGTTTTTTTAATTATTATTTTATTATCTCCATTCTATGTGACTATCGAAAGGAATGGAAATAATAAAATAATAAATAACAAATTTATTGGTTTATTATTTCCATTCCTTTCGATAAAGTCACATAGAATGGAAATAATAAAATAAAAATAACAAATTTATTATTTTATTATTCCCATTCTACGTGACTTTACCGAAAGAACCAAGAAGAAGCAGAGGAGGAGGAGCCCAACCGGCGAGAAGGGCGTATGCCCGCCCCCCCTCCTGTCAATCAAGCCGCTGCAGTGGCTCCGCGTCACGTGGGGCGCGGCGGACCAATAGCGCGAGGGCTGCGCAGCGCGAGCCCAGGGGCCCCCCAAGATGGCGACGCCAACGCAAGGAGCCGCGCAGCAGCCCGAGGTGGTGAAGGGGCAGGTCTTCGACGTGGGCCCCCGCTACACGAGCCTCAGTTACATCGGCGAGGGCGCCTACGGCATGGTCTGGTGAGCGAGCCGGCGCGACGGTGGGAGCGTCGCGTTGTCGAGGCGGCGAGGGGGTAAGCGGTGGGGTGGTGGTGGTGGTGTGGTGAGAAGCTGGGGCGGCCTTCATTTTCTCTCGGCTCACCAACCGCCCCCCCCCCCGCTCACCCCCCCCTCACCCCCCCCCCCGCTCACCCCCCCCCCGCTCACCCCCCCCCCGCTCACCCCCCCCCGCTCACCCCCCCCCCGCTCACCCCCCCCAGCTCACCCCCCCGCTCACCCCCCCCCCGTTCACCACCCCCCCGCTCACCTCCCCCCCCGCTCACCTCCCCCCCCCGCTCACCCCCCCCCCCCGCTCACCCCCCCCCCACTCACCCCCCCCCGCTCACCCCCCCCCGCTCACCCCCCCCCTCACGCCCCCCCCCGCTCACCCCCCCCCGCTCACCCCCCCCCGCTCACCCCCCCCAGCTCACCCCCCCGCTCACCCCCCCCCCCCCGCTCACCCCCCCCCAGCTCACCCCCCCGCTCACCCCCCCCCCGTTCACCACCCCCCCCGCTCACCCCCCCCCGCTCACCCCCCCCAGCTCACCCCCCCGCTCACCCCCCCCCCCCGCTCACCCCCCCCAGCTCACACCCCCCGCTCACCCCCCCCCGTTCACCACCCCCCCCGCTCACCCCCCCCCCGCTCACCCCCTCACACACCCCCCACCGCTCACCCCCCCCCTCACGCCCCCCCCCGCTCACCCTCCCCCCCCGCTCACTCCCCCTCAGCTCACCCCCCCGCTCACCCCCCCCGTTCACCACCCCCCGCTCACCCCCCCCCCACTCACCCCCCCCACTCACCCCCCCCCGCTCACCCCCCCCCCGCTCACCCCCCCCTCACGCCCCCCCCCCCCCGCTCACCCCCCCCCTCACGCCCCCCCCCCGCTCACCCCTCCCCCGCTCACCCCCCCCCCGCTCACCCCCCCCCCCGTTCACCCCCCCGCAGCTCACCTCCCCCCCCCCTCACGCCCCCCCCCGCTCACCCCCCCCCCGCTCACCACCCCCCCGCTCACCCCCCCCCGCTCACCCCCCCCCGCTCACCCCCCCACTCACCCCCCCCCGCTCACCCCCCCCCCGCTCACCCCCCCCCCCGCTCACCCCCCCCCGCTCACCCCCCCCGCTCGCCCCCCCCCTCACGCCCCCCCCGCTCACCCCCCCCCCCTGCTCACCCCCCCAGCTCACCCCCCCGCTCACCCCCCCCCCCCGCTCACCCCCCCCAGCTCACCCCCCCGCTCACCCCCCCCCCCGTTCACCACCCCCCCCGCTCACCCCCCCCCATACACCCCCCACCGCTCACCCCCCCCGCTCACCCCCCCCTCACCGCCCCCCCCCCGCTCACCCTCCCCCCCCCCGCTCACTCCCCCTCAGCTCACCCCCCCGCTCACCCCCCCCCGTTCACCACCCCCCCGCTCACCCCCCCCCCCACTCACCCCCCCCCCCACTCACCCCCCCCCCGCTCACCCCCCCCGCTCACCCCCCTCACGCCCCCCCCCCCCCGCTCACCCCCCCCCCCTCACGCCCCCCCCCCGCTCACCCCTCCCCCGCTCACCCCCCCCCCGCTCACCCCCCCCCCCGTTCACCCCCCCCAGCTCACCTCCCCCCCCCGCTCACCCCCCCCCGCTCACCCCCCCCCCCGCTCACCCCCCCCCCCCGCTCACCCCCCCCCCCCGCTCACCCCCCCCCCCCGCTCACCCCCCCCCCGCTCACCCCCCCCCGCCGCTCACCCCCCCCCCGCTCACACCCGCCCCCCGCTCACACCCCCCCCCCCGCTCACACCCCCCCCCCGCTCACACACCCCCCCCCGCTCACACCCCCCCCCCCCGCTCACACCCCCCCGCTCACACCCCCCCCGCTCACACCCCCTCCCCCGCTCACACCCCCCCCCCCCGCTCACACCCCCCCCCCCCGCTCACACCCCCCCCCCCGCTCACACCCCCCCCCCGCTCACACCCCCCCCCCGCATCACAACCCCCCCCCCCCTCTCACACCCCCCCGCTCACACCCCCCCCGCTCACACCCCCCCCCGCTCACACCCCCCCCTCTCAACACCCCCCCCGCTCACACCCCCCCCCGCTCACACCCCCCCCCCGCTCACCCCCCCCCCCGCTCACCCCCCCCCCCGCTCACCCCCCACCCGCTCACCCTCCCCCCGCCGCTCACCCTCCCCCCGCCGCTCACCCTCCCCGCTCACCCCCGCTCACCCCCCCGCTCACCCCCCCGCTCACCCCCCCCCCCCCGCTCACCCCCCCGCTCACCCCCCCCCGCTCACCCCCGCTCACCCCCCCCCCCGCTCACCCCCCCTCACCCCCCCCCTCACCCCCCGCTCACCCCCCCCGTCTCTATGGGAGCGATTCGAATGCGTAGTCCTCGTAGGCGCGCGCTGATTGGTCGCGACGCGCACGGTGGCCGCGCGGCTCGGGCCAATTGGGGGGGGTGTGGGGGTGGTAGAGAAGGCGCGCTCAGTCGGCGGCGGCCGCGGCCGTGCGCGCCGCGCGGAATGCGATGGCCGAGAGTCTCGGGCTACGCCTTAGCGGGGGGGGGTGGGGTGGTGGTGTTCACGACTCGGTGGTTCTCCCACGCTTTCCACGTGCACTCGCATTTTTGTCGTTGCTGTTAATCGTTCGTTCTTGTTGTTGTTGGGAAAGTGTTTGAGTGGGTAGGCGGTGATTGCTTTCGAAAGCAGTTGTTGCGTTGTTGTTTTTGTCATCGTGGAAATGCGAGGAGACACGCCCTGCGGTGGTTGGCCCATTGAGATGCAAACAGCGGCTACCATTGAGAACGTAGTGAGCGGGGTGAGGAGGAGGGGGGTAGGAGGAGGCTTTTGCTGTTACCGACGAATTATTTTTACGTTGGGGGTTGACGCGCGCCTCTGCGTGCAAACAGCCTCGGGGCCGACCGAGCCGAGTTTTTTTTCTCCCTTCGATGATGATGAAGATGATGATTAGGCAGGCAGGCAGGGCGGTGTGGAAAAATTAAACGTAAAGTCGCCGTCCTGTTAACCCCCCACCCCGTCGTTGCACTCTGGCGGGTTACATCATTATTACCTTTCGTCTTCCAATGCGATGGCTTTGCAGCGTCGTCACCAGCGGCGGCACGCTTTTGACCTCGGCTAGGAAAACGCCCTTTCTGCATGAAGCTTTCTTGGCTTTGGTGCCTGCAGGAATTCATATTCTTTTGGGTCTTTCGGTAAAGTCACGTGTAGATAGGTTCGAAGAAAATGTAAGAAAAGAACCTATGACGTTTCGATCGCTACACAAGCGGTCGTCATCAGGATGATGACGACCGCCTGTGTTATGTCGTCTTACCCTGAGGCTTGCACCCATCACAGACCTTGTTTCAGTAGCTTTCTCTCTCTCTCACCTGAAGACGGCCGCTTGTGTTGCGATCGAAACGTCGTGATCTATTAATTTTCTATCTACGTGGCTTTATACCGAAAGACCCAATGAATATGACCTCCTTCACAAGGTGTTTCGCTGGAAGACGAGATGGATTTTTGTTGTTGACGTCTTCCACGCGGCACTGGAACGATGGCCCAGTGGTATAAGTATTTGGGATGACGAGAGTTTGAGGGAGGTTGTGGAAAATAGGCCCTTAACGCTGGTGGAGGGCGCAGTGCTTAACGGAAATCAACTACTTACTGTCCGCTTGTTTTGTCAGGAAGGTGCACGTTTTGGAATTTCAATAAACGTTTCAAGAAAATGAAAGATTAGCTCATGATCATTTCCAACAATTCAGCTGTGTGGCATTAAAATAGAGTACCCAGAAAATGAAACCGCTCGTGCAAAGGGAGTGGCGACAGCTCTGCCCATCTCACCTACAACAGAGGTCCTGGTGGTCACCCATCCAGGTTCAACAATGCTGAGCTTGCAAAACCTGATGAGGTTGGACACACGTGGTGGTTTTGTTGCAGGCAAAGGCTTTGCTATGTGAGTGCACATATGGGATTGCATTTTATAGGTAGGCCCTACAGCCCTCTTTCAAAGGCAACGATTTCTGATGTTTTTGGTGAGGTCAAGCTTTGGTTTACTGAATATAGGTTATGCTTAAGTGAGTCAAGTTATTTGGATGGTGTTAGGTTCAATAGACGTATCTGCATAAACATTAAGTATATATTGTCTGCTATTACATGTTGTGGTTTCACGCTTCAACACACCGGTGGGCTAAAGCAGTGAACTAATTGTCTTTTGTCAACGTGACACTTTTTTTTTTTACTGATTGGCCGTGTCGGGTGGTGGAGGGTTACGACACATTTATAAATAACGCGATCTAAACCCAAAAACGTTGATTATGAATCAGAAATATGGACACTAACAAATAAACTACAACGATATCGGAAAAGTGTGCCAAAAAGCATGGTGAAGTGTAAGTTCAGAATGGCATTGAGAGTCAGGAACGCATGAATAAACAAACGCAAACCAGATATATCAAATGCAATTTTATTAACATCAATTGTTAAGACGTGGGCTTCCGAGAACGCATCTCCTAGATGGGATGATGGAATGGAAGCCATCGGTGAAGGTGTGCCTTAGAGGATGACCACCGAAGAAATGGAACAGAGACCAACTTATATGCAATAACTAGATGAATTGTTGAGTTGCGAGACCATGAAGGAGGGTTGCAGTGTGGGGAGGCCTTCAACCAGCAGTGGATACATTGTGGCTTATGATGATGCTAATCCAGCTCTCGGATTCCAAAAAATAATCCTCGTTTGTGCAGCTTAGTCCCGGTGTGATACTTCATTCACATCTGTACATTGTTACTAGCCACATTGTGAGCGCTATATTTTAAATGTCGCAGGGCTAAAATCCGTGGCCACCTTTGACATGCTGCACACACCGGTGCACTTGTACACTGATTTCCATTGCAGTAATACATGTTTGTAACCAATATGTGAGGCAGCAGAGTTGCATCCATAAATTATAGCTATTGCAAAATTATGCAGCATAAACAGCTGAAGCGTTTTTTTTAAACGGATGAGCAGTGTTAATGGAATTAATGTAGTTACCAGTAAACCCAGGGTGCAATTTAACATGCTTAATGCTGCTTAAAATGTGTAATGGGGAACCTCCATTCTTCCTTGTGAATTGATTTCAGACGGCATTGGGCCAGGATTGAGACGCTGGTGAATTTGCACCATTTGGCATTGAATTTGTGTGATGTTTCATTGCATGGGGTGTTTTATTTAGATTTCTGGCACCACATTTATAAAATTACCGACATTTTAAACATTTTATTTAGGAAACGCTAGCTTAAATTTAATATAAAACAAAGAAATATGTGTTCCAATAAAAGCCACATTGCTTTTAAATAACATAATTTTTCGTACTTGGTCTATGTGAGATGGTCAGCCACCGATGGTTTATTTAATCTCATTAATGAGTTGCAACTTAATTACACGTGAATAAGTAAAGCATTGTCACTATGCACCATTAGAGACGATTAGCATTATTTACGAATCACATGCAGGAGTGTGATAATTGGAAACTCCAACCTTGGAAATCTGCTTTTCTTTCATAGGAGCTTTCTCATTGGGATTTTGAGCTATTTCTAGAGCAGTTTGCCTGTGGGAGAAAACGTTCCAGAGAACTCAACATGTATGTTGAACTTCTTTCGCACGGTACATAGCCAACTGTGCTAATCCGCGGTGCACATCAGGGGAGAAAATGTACGCCTGCAGATGGCTTTCCAAAAACATTCTGTCTATAAAACCACCAATTAGTGTCTTGTTGTGTTCTCGGTAGGTGTCGCACAACAGCGTGTCCCCAGCATCAGTATCGGGATTAATTGTTTACTTAGAATTACTGCAAACACGTGATTACAGTGAGCCGCTATGGACACCACAATGTCCCGAGACAAATTAATTGTGTTCATTGCATTGTATAACTTAGCTGCATTGTTGATCAAAGTTGTCCTCGTTTGTGTAATTCTGACTTCCCTCCACACACATGTTTACATTCAGATCGGTGATAGTGCTTTTTAATTGTAAACCAGACTGTATTTTCACCACTAATATAACCGTCAATGAACATTGCATGTTAACATTTGTGAAAAGGACTACGTTTTCTGTAGTTACATTCAGAGGCATGTACCTATTAGAAATTATCCAGTGCAGGTACAATGAAACTGACTCGTGATGTACTATTGTTCGAACATGGGCTCTTCTTGAAGCATTCCACTGTATGTTTTACTTCACCTGCACAGGAAGGGTATGAAACCATACACCTGGTAGAGCAATCTCGTACTTTTATGTGCAAGCTATGCGTGTACAGCAGAATGTAATGTCTTTGTGTTTGTACACCATACTAAGTTTGCCCCTTATCCGTCAAACGGAAGTTTGTTTGTGTCGCCACAATGTTTGCAGTAAGCAAGATAGCCAGCAAGGAATCATGCTTGTGGTTTTGCATTTTTTTTTCTTATTTCTTGGTAAAGCAAAACGCATGAAGTCGAGTACTTAAGAAGAAAGTACTGTATATTAATACTGTGCTTATGTGCCTATGATATATGTGTTGGAATAAAACAATTCTGAATCTATAGAACATTGGTTAATCAAGCTAACAAAATTATTTACTTCTGCCCTGTCAGCTACTTAGTGAATGGGCAGTTTTTTTGAAATTTAATGTAAAAATGTGCCAATTGGCCTCATCAGAGAAATCAGACTTTTGATAACCAGAAGTCTGTAAGTAATTGTATCTCCAGTTGTCTACATGTTTAAATTGTGTACAAGAGTATGGTTCAGATGTAATCAAAAATGTTTATCCTTCAAAAATTATATCCGTAATTAAACACCGTACTGTATATACAGAGACAGTACAATATATAAATTACCTATACCGTGCCTGTTTATGTAGATACTGTAGCTGTAATGGGAAAGTAACTTTTTCATGGACGAGCTGCCTGTTAAACCCCTTTTTAATTGTTTTGCTGAATTCAGTCCTTTTCAGTGTATCGTAGATGCTGCTTGGTGCATACTAGTGAGGGGGTAAAGAGCTGATTTACATGTAACAACGTTGATTAAGTTGTTAAGCATTGTGTAATGATGTGGGAAATGTATTCAAAGCACATTGATGTGAAACAATGTTTATCTTGTGGACCACCTGTTCTTCCCTGCTTCTATATTAGTCTTCACTGGAGAGCTGTAGTAATTTGAAAGTGTTTTATATTTGTTTTTCAGTGCTGCCTTCGACAATGTAAAGCTGGTTCGAGTGGCCATCAAGAAGATCAGCCCTTTTGAGCACCAGACATATTGCCAACGTACCTTGCGCGAGATAAAAATTCTGCTGAGATTTAAGCACGAAAATATCATCGGCATCAACGACATCCTTCGGGCATCGACTATTGATCAAATGAAAGATGTGTATCCTTTATCATGCTAAAAAGGGTGTTTGTAGTTCACTTACCTTTTTGATTATTATAAGTTGTCTTATAGATTTCACACAATCTCTGTTCACACGAACACAGAATATTGATATTTGTACTACCCAAAAGCAGTGTATCAAGGAAAGGTTACATTGTGGAAATTTACCAAAATATCTCCTATTTTATTGCAGATTAAATATTACAAAACATGTTGCATACGCTTCATTCTTATAGCACAGGGCCTTCACAGACGGTTCTGTCTTGTACAGACGAGTATCATTTGCAGTGGTTTTGGAGTAGGAGCTGATGTTGCATTGTTGCTTTCCCCAATTAGGTGATTTGCAAGTGCTCTTCAAATTTGGACCGAGATGCAGGCCCAATTGGCCGACTCTTTTTCAAATAATGTTAAGGCGACATTAACGGTCGCTGTGAAGCAGATGATACATTTTGCTAATACACCTGCAGTAGTAGCCAAGACAAGCGTTGGGCTCGAACCACGTTTGCAAAAAGCAGAAACACGTTAGCTCTCAGCTATGTCACAAATGGTTGGTTACAATATGAATGTAGGGACCCCTTGCTAGTCTTTGATTATTACACATTTACCGTCACTATTGGCCACACCTAAAATTAGCAGAGAATGAAAATGTATACTTTTTTTGAGTGAAATAATAATTGCAATTTTTAAATGCATTCAAATGATATTCCTTAACCCATTGTCCAGCTACATAGTTCAAGATCTGATGGAAACGGACCTCTACAAACTTTTAAAGGGGCAGCAGCTAAGCAATGACCACATCTGTTACTTCCTCTACCAGATCCTGCGTGGCCTCAAATACATCCATTCAGCTAATGTTTTGCACCGTGACCTGAAGCCATCCAACCTTCTCCTCAACACCACCTGTGACCTCAAAGTAAAATGCTTTTTTTATCGTTTTTATTATTGAACTGGGTATACTATCTAGTAACTCTGGATACAGAATCAGAATGTCACAATATTTATACCGGAGGAATCCAATGAGCTATAAAGTTATTTTTCACATGTCTAGTAGGGTTGGGTAAGAACATTACATCAAAAAAACTATAGAGAAACATGATAGTGCAAAGTACAATAAAGGTTAACAAATCGTACAAATTTACAAATAAAACAAAAAACATTCCCATCATACCATGCAAAGCCCACTGAGGTGTTATCTTATTTTTCAGAAGCGACTTGGCCACAAATGATAGCTCAACAAAGTGTCTTATCATTTGTACATTTATAGCAGCAAAATAATAAAGATTTGGGTGAACGTAAAATGTCCCAAGTTAACAGGGGTGTTACTGTTGACCTCCCCTGGCAGTGAGGCGATTGATAAAACAAAACTACTATTTTTAATACATGTAATGTTATGCATGTCTTGTGTACTTAAGAATCGATAGTGATGATTGAATGCATTGTTATAACCCAACTAAAATGGGTGGGACTTTGGTGAAACAGATCATTTTCAAATTAGGTCTTGTGTGATGAATCAAAATAGTTGTATGTGATCTGCTGTGGAGTGAGTAGATAGAACATTTCTGATTATTGTATTGAAATGTGTAATATTTATGCCAAAATGTTTTTTTCTCCTTCAGATCTGTGATTTTGGCTTGGCTCGAGTAGCAGACCCAGACCATGACCATACAGGTTTCTTGACCGAATATGTGGCCACGCGTTGGTACCGTGCTCCTGAAATAATGCTGAACTCCAAAGTAAGTAGTTCACAATTCAATTATTTACATAGCGAATGTTGCTTTCGACAGCTAATTTGTATACTTAAACCTTTTTTTTTGTATTAATGTTGACTTCTGTTTTTTATTGTTGTTTATTTTAGGGATATACAAAATCCATCGACATCTGGTCCGTGGGCTGCATCTTGGCAGAAATGTTGTCCAACAGACCTTTGTTCCCTGGGAAGCATTATCTCGACCAGCTCAACCACATCCTAGGTAACGATGTGTTATGGAGAATGTGTGTCACAAAATAAATCCTGGTTTTAAATGTTTACTTCATTAAAGGTTCTACAATGAGCTCATTTGTTTTTATTAGCTGAACGTTTTTTCCCCTCTTTTTTGCCTGTCCTAAACTAGACTAACATGTTTTTTTAATCATGCATCTTTCGACTTGTATTCAACTCCTACAGTACAAAACCACGATGTTTTTTTATTGCCTTGGTTTCAATGGTTCACATTTGTCGGCTATTGCTGGTGTCATGCCATTATTTTGCTTTTAACAGATGAGAGTATTCTTTCTGAATGTGACGGAATATAATTTGTATTAAGATAAAAATTACTAGAGCGAAAAGCTAACCTTTGATTTATTTTGGACATTGTGTTGCAGGAATTCTCGGTTCACCTTCTCAAGAGGACCTGGACTGCATCATCAACATGAAGGCCAGGAATTACCTGCAGTCTCTCCCTCCGAAAGCCAAAGTGCCTTGGAACAGGCTCTTTCCGAAAGCGGATTCCAAGGGTAAGTTATGCATGTTGTTGAACTTTTTTCACGCACCGTACGTAGCCAGCCGTGTTAATCGATGTTGCTTCTGTTTCCACGTCGCAACTTGCGCTTTTGAACATTTGATGTGGTTGAAGGTAATTATTTTTTAACAAAATTTGCTGTGAAATATTTACTTTGCTGTTCCACAACCCTAATGTGGCCCAAATATAAAATCAAACAACACATTCCTATATTAATGGTAAATGAAACTGTCTTTTATATGTTTATGAATACATTTTGAGGTTTTTAGTGAATGTTTCTTTTTCAGCTTTGGATCTGCTGGACAAGATGCTCACCTTCAACCCCCATAGGCGCATCACCGTGGAAGAGGCCTTGGCTCATCCGTATCTGGAGCAGTACTATGACCCTTCTGATGAGGTTAGAAATTAAAGTCTATGCTACATACAGCTTGCTAGTTACAAAAGGAAGAAAACCATACATGTGCATGGATTCTATAATGCTTTCCAACATGCACGTGTCCTTCAAAGTATGAATTAGTTATGAAGTAAATTTTAAATGCGCAGAGCAAGATGACGCCGTGAGATGTCATGTAATTATGTCATCGGAAGGGGAGGCTAACTTTCTTTGAGCTGGTTCTGTCAATAGCAACACAACTTCATACCTTAATTAACATTGGGACATCTTGAACAGTTATTGTGCCACCCTGTTGCAGACGAGCCAGACAGCGCTATACCGTTATTGCTCTGAATCTTGGTTGGAGAGTGTTAATAAAAATAAAAGCAACATCTCATACATTTAATATTTTGTGAACTGTTGTACTTGGTATCTATTGTAAATTATCGAAGCTAATCACATTTTTGTTATCTATTACACTTATCTATGTCGCCCTTTTAAAATGTTCCTTGTGGCCTAATTTATTTATGCGGCAATACCTATGTAAACTCTTTAAATTTATTTTCGATAAGGTAATATTGATGGTATTTATAGGTATAGGGAAATTTATTTAATCAAAGAAATGAACTTATTTAACCACTTGTTCGGTTGTGTCTATGCATGAGAAAATGTCATGAATTCTATTACAGATAACAACATGGCCTATTCTTCTGACAAATTGCTTTCCCTACAGCCTGTAGCAGAGGAGCCGTTCAGATTTGACATGGAACTGGATGATCTCCCCAAGGAGCGGCTCAAAGAGATGATCTTTGAGGAGACTGCACGCTTCCAGCCAGGATTTCAGCAGGCGTGATCCTCTCTGCCACCCCTGCCTGCTTTGCTCTTGTGTGTGCTACAGATTTATTGTTCTTATATATAGTAAGATATTACTAAGACGTTTTAGTACATTTAAATGTAACGTTTTGCAGTGAAATGTGGAAAACATGCTCAAAGGTCGATACAAAGTAGATTGAGCTGCTGTTGCAACACTGATATTTTTCTGCATTTAGACTGGTGAATCTACAACAATGATATATACTGGATGCTTTAATTCCAAGGTGTTTTTTTAAGGCTATTTGTGAAGGTTAATGCTGATATTCACCTGCCTGGCTCCCTATATTCCTGAAAAAAAAACGCCTTTTACCAGCCGACATATATATGTTTGTATATAACTGACATTTTCTGGTCTTTTGCACATTATTAGATGAGAGTGTATGTACTTTTAAGTAGTACTTTACTATTGTGGAATATGAACATTTTTGTCCCAAAATAGCAAAGTGGAGTCTCCATATGAATGGCATTTTCGAAAATGATAAATTAGTCCAATACTCTTTAGCTGGGGATATTTGAGAAATGTATCCAATGTATATGGTTAAAATAGTTTGTGATTTAGCAAATTTTCATAAATACCTTTGTCTTGATGAGGTTATCCCCCTGTTTTTCTTCCGACAGATGCGTCTGGTGCCTGACGACTCCAGATATAGCTGAAAAAACATGTACACCGCCTAACAAAGATATTTAATGTCCTGCCTGGTGTCTGCAATTTGTGAGGCCATCCCACAGTTTCTCACAAGAGACCAGATTCATCCTACTCCCACAAAAGGGATTCAGCAAAAAAAAAAATCTGTTTTAACCTGTAAACTTTGTGCTGGGTTTTTGTGAGCAAGACACAATTTCCTCCCCCCCCCCCCCATGTTAACTTGGCCTTTTATTTTTTGTGAGCTTGTTTTTTTGTATAAAGTGGCTTTTGTATTTGCTTGGTGCAGACTTGTTACATTTGGTATTTCGTGTGAAAAAAAAATATGGATGAATTTGTTTCCTACAAGTGCGGACGTTCACATTTTGTGCCAGACTTGAGTCTTGGCATATAATGGCTTTTGTTTGCCAATACATATTTTAGGACTGGTTCAGACTGTCATTTTCGTAGTGTTTGCAAAGCCATTTGAATTCCTGTAATGTAGGATGGCCTTCATTATTACACTTGATTGTTGTGATTTTAGCAGACAAGCTTGTCAATAATGTTATTTAGGGAGCTTTGCTTTAGATGCAGGTTAAATCTGGTTAATAGGCCTGTACGAAATATTGTGTTTAAATGTACATTAACTGATTTGGGTAAGCCTTGGATGAACTTTTATTATTATTGATGTTATATTATTTTATTGTTAACGTTGTTGCAATGAAAACCCACTGTTAAAACTAAAAAAACTGTAAAATTTGGTAAATATTAGGTTAACCAAAATGTTTAAACCAACTATAGTGTTCCCTTTTAATACTGCTAAATAAAGTAATTGATTTGGGAAGATGCTGTTGGAAGAAATTAAGCACTTGTACTTTTGAACATTGAAAGTTATCTTTTCCATAATTATTTAAAAAGTTAACAGTTGTCCACTGTTTTCAAGAATGAATACTTAACTTCACTCAGTGTTCTTTATGCAGGTGTACCCCTTTCCCATACACAAATTAAAATACTATGCCAATGCATATGCGCCATTCACATGGTATGTATGCCACACCATTTACCAAGTGTTTCAGTTAGGTACTGCACAATTTGAAGAACTGTCACAATATGGTGTAATGAAGTGGGTCAAATGTGTTTAATTTGTCTATGCTTTTTTGGTTTTTGAAACTATAATATAGTGGCCATTCACTTATAAATTTGTATTCTATTGCTGGTGTGTTAAGCAAGTACATAATCTTGATCCGTTGTGTTGTGTAAAACATTCAAGACATGATTCTTAAACATGCATACATTGGTTTCACATGAATATGTACCTAAAGCAACCGAGGTTATTCTAAATTATAATTGGTGTTTAGTGCAGGCTGCTAACATTGGAACAAACGGTTTTTCATTACTCATGAGAACATAACATTTTAATTAACACAACATTACATTTGGTGTTTGCCTTATTCATTGTGCTTGTGTTTTGTGTTGTCACAGCTGGCACCATTACAGTGAAGTATCGTACGCTTTTTCGATTAAACATTTGAATTGATGAAGAGATTACTTTTATGGATTATGAATAAGCTTTGTCTAGGCTAGGTACAAGATATAATGTGATAACTATCAACTTCAGCAAAAAATAAGGGAAACGATTAATCCAGGACAATAGTGTGCTTTACATTGTACTTTTTGATGAATTCTGTCTGTGTATAAAGTAAGCATTAAACCACAAGATAACGTATCGCTTTTGTTTTTGAGTTTCAATTTTTAATTGTCCCTATTCAGCGCTGTTCCAGGTGGGTTATTTGGAGAACTGGTTATACATTCAAGTTGAAATAACATGCTTTTACATTGTTCATGGCTGTTTTCCCCCCCCAGGATCCTTATTTAAACAAAAAAAAACATTTTAGATGAATTTATTGTGTCCACCATGGTAAAAATGTTACAGCATAATAGTTGAACATTTTTTATGACGCAACGTTTTTGAGCTTTTAGGCATTGGATTGTGAGCATGCACCCATGTCTACTGCGACTGCCATTTGAAGTTTTTTGTGTTTTTATTGTCCTGACGGCCTCGTGGAATGGCCTTGAAAAGTGGTTGAAGATTCGATATCATTTGTAAAAGCCTAATGTGCATCTAAATCTTGTTTACGTAACCGTTCTAACCTTGTATGTCAGACTGTTAACCACAACTTCAGTATTGAAAACCAAGATAACTGTTTAGCGATTTTAATGGTGATGCAGAAATATTAACGTTTGCTGTTGACTTGCTAATATAGGATATTGGGCATTGCAACAGTAGATGGGAGCAGGTGATATATGGACAGGCCTGGGTTATTTAAGAATGTAAAACAGTTGTGGGAAGACGATCAGGATATTTTTCTCACTGCAGTGTGTATAAACTAAATCCATGTTTAAACCTAAAGGACCATGTCAACGTATGAATGTAGTACAGCGTACTCTGCCTTAACCTAGAAAGTTGATGTCTGTGGTGACGCAAAGTCTTTGACTTGTGTATATGGCAATGCTTTTGCTCTAACTGTATATGTCCAGCCCATTGAAGCTGGCTTGGATATAGGTCTGTGATTTGCATGCAGTATAAATAAACTCTGTTAAAAGCCACTTTTGTTGCATATTTGAATCATACTAGCCGCTTTGTTGTTGGAACAGATATACTGTAGTTAAATGACATGTTGAGACACTGGCCAGGACAATATTGTGGTTTACCCTGTACCTTTTCGTCCGTTTCACAACGAATAAACTTTTGCAACGGTAATAACTCCAAACAACAATATCCGTTGGGGAAGCAATAATAAACGCCGGCATATCTATTACATTCATTCAGGATGTAATGGATTTTTATTACCGTTTCTATTAGATATTTCCCTGTCCATTGCCTCCACAACTGAAATCCCCATACTTGACATAAAATATGTTTTCACTCAAATGTTTAAAGCCATGTCTAGAGAGTATTTAAAAGTCCACAAGTGACAATCCGTATGGCGGCAGTGAACTAAAGACGCATATTTCGCCTCTGTTTAATGAGTAAAAGCATGTGCTTGCTCATTGCGAACCATTGCAGACGCGGTGTTTGTGAGCGGCCCAGCTTCTGGAGTTGTGATTGTTGTCAGGATTAGAGTACGAATTTATGGCGCTGTTAATTCACTGAAGGCCTTCTGAGACTGTTGGTCTATCGCCACTGACAGAATCGCTTTACGTTGCTGAAGGTCTCAAATTTTTTGTTTACATTAACTCTAAATCCTAAGATGCATTTATTTACACTGAATCAGCCAAACTAAAAGACAAGATTCGCAGAGTATCTGGAGATAGGTCCCATGCCGTGCTGTAAGGCTGCCCTTTTATAAATCATTCTTGCGTGACGTTTAGTTACATCTGGTGAAAATACACAGGTTCAACACAAAACTAAAGCGAGGATTTGCAAATCAAATATGCAAATTATTCTATTTTCCTTCACGAGCTAAACAGCCTCAACGGAATGGCTTCTAATGGGTATCAGTGCGTGCAATTGGACCACTTGTCTTTAGGAACAGTCTAAACCGGCCTGTGAACTGGGAATGCCAAGTTCAGCCTCAATCTCAACCAGCATGGAACTTTGCGCACAGATGCAACACATGGGATTGTGGCTGGAGGCAAAGAGAGAGACTGTCTCCGGGAATTGGTATTCGTGTTGAGGTGGCAGGAATGTATTTAGACCAATATCTGGTGGTACGTGTTGAACATCATGGAAGTACAGTGGACCGCACAGTTTTCCAATACCTAAACTGACTGAGAAAAATTAGGGGTTTGGTCTGCGAAAAAGAAAACAAGCATCTTCTGCTGCCTTATGGTGAGTGCTGTATATCTGAATTGTGGTTGGCAACAGGGCTGCTGTGAGGGGTGAGTGGTGTGGTTCTCAAGATTGGAGGGTGGGCCCCTAAAGGGGACACTAGGAAGGGCCGACGGAGAGGCCTCAACAGACATGTCCCGGGTCCCAAAACACCTTATTAGGCTGGTCCGACGTGGATGGGTGTAGGAGGAAGGAATCCCATTGGAGCCTTATCTTTCCTGCAAAGTAGGAAATGGTATGCGTAAGAAACCACTCGCACGCGTGTAGATAATGTCAAGCTCAACTTGTTTCCGGTAACACTTGCAACATCGACTTGGAGTTGGGAGTGCAGACAGGGTGGTTCTAATGTCTTGTGCCCTTTTCCCTCCCACATTTAATTCTCAAAAAAAATGTTAAAGCGAGGTTTATTTAAAACAAAAATGCTAAGGAAAACAATGTTAGGGGTAAATGATTGGGGGGGGGGGGGATCACAATACATCCGGACCAGCCTGTAAATGAAGGCACATTTGAACGTACGGCTGTCCATAATCATAAAAATGTACGTATACTCCACTAATCAAATCTTATAAATATGTTTATATAAAAAATGGACAAAGCGATGGATGTTGCGTGCCAAAATTAATCCGGGATCAGCATTCCGGACTTAATTGTAGGTAGAGTATTTATTTGTTAGAAATTAGGTCTCATTTTTCATACGCAGCTGTTTGGACGGTCTCTCCCACGCCGCTGTCTCTTATGTGTGTTGGTTTGACCATACTTCACCATGCCGGTCGGTGCGGGGTGGTGGTTCCCACCTTGTTGAGACCTGCTGGTCACCTTGTGGAATAACCTGTGGCATGCTCAAGTGTTGTGTGTGTGAGCTGTCAGCTAAGGGAACAGGTCATAGAACTCCCCAAGGTCGACTCCGCTTCAAATAGGGTACCTGGTGCGGTGTGTAGACATCGCCACAGGGGAGACAAAGGCGTCCGGGCGAGGTGCTGGCCATCCAACCTCGTGTAGGTGCTCGCTCACAGCACTTTGGTGTGTAACGATGCTTCAATGCATCGGCAAACATTGACTCAAACTCCTGCAATGTGCAATCGGATGGCGCGTGGACACAGGGCTGCACATTCTAGATTTGATGTGTCCATGCCCAAGTAGATTCAACCAATCTTGACTTTAAGCTTTCGTGACAGCTGGCAGCAGTTATCCTGCTGTATCTGTTCCACCTGATGACGGTCGAAACGTCGTGATCTAGTATTTTTCTACCTACGTGACTTTACCGAAAGAACTAAAGAGAGTATGGATTCAACCACTTTCGTTCGTGGTGGTCTTACGAGAATCGTGTGCCACCGCTACCCCCACGGCTTGCCCTCTAACGTGAAGCCTCCTCGTCCTTCAAGCCATCGCGAATGCAATGCGCCTCCTGGATAGCTGTGTTAAAACAGAACGCTTTGTAGCTCATCGGATTCCTCCAGTATAAGTACATAATTCTGATGCTGGCACGTGCTAGTCACATGCTGCCCAGGAGAGGGCAGTCGTGGATGCAAAATATTCAGATCTCACCTAAGGTGGCCGAGGGGAAAACCCACTGGTCTTGCTCAATGGTATCAAGATCGAGATCTTGATTCTTTGGTTCTTTTGGTAAAGTCACGTAGTTAGAAATATAATAAAACAAATCACGACGTTTCGATCGCAATACAAGCGATCGATACGTCGTGAGGGCGGAGAGATGTCCAAACAAGTGTGATGAAACCGGAGCCCCTGGAGAAAACCCACGCACATTTAGCGGCAACTCCATCCCCGTACATATGGAAACAGATGGCGATTAGTAAACTTGCTCTATTGCCTTCTCATGGCGAGCCCCAGGGTATACTGGCACCGAGAAGTGGGAGTGAGAGTGGAACGATGCATCATCATCTCTCTCTAGCCAGAGTTGGCAACTCCCCAATGCGGAAAGTCACCAAATCGTCGCTAGGTGTCGTTAGATGAACACGAAGCCGTCACTGGCACGAGACAATTTACCGTCGTCACAATGGCACGAGACAATTTAGCGAGTATTCACACGCGTTAATGAATACAGGATCCTTAATAACCTGCATGGAATCGGCCACAAATCTGCACCATGTCGGCATCCCAGACATTCGCTTGCTTGGTCACGTGTCGCATTCCACCAAATTGTATTGCTTGAGAAACCCTACATTTATCAAGAATTGCTGATTTGATTGATAACGTTGCTAGCCCCCATCCCACCACCGCACGTTTATGAATTTGATTCATTGTCGTGGTTCTGTTGCGATTTGATCCAAAGATCGATGATTAATTTGAACGCACATTGGTGAATTGCAGCATCTATCGAATAAAAAACATACAGAAACAAGAACCTTTCTTTCACATGCAGGTCGATGAATGGCATACATCGTGAGCTTGAGTCGATATTGATCAATGAATTGGCGCATCGTTCCACGTCGCCTATAAAGAGGTTTTCCCCGCACCTCCGATTAGCACGGTTGGCTACGTACGGTGCGAAAGAAATTCAATGTACGTAGTACTGTATATACCGTACTTGTGAGCTTTTATACACAAGTGTCTTGGGATCGGCGGTCAGTTGAGGGCATCGCGCATCCATCCGCACTTGCAAAAGTGTGACCTAGCAAAGCTACACGTTTAAAACAGCACTTTAAATGCCATATATATATACATTGCACGTGATTTTTTTTCCTTAGCCATGAAATGTTGCTTTAATTTCAGGACCGACGCTGCTCTTTTTTTTGTGCATGTGGGTGAAGGTGTCAAGGTGCCTTTGATGCGTTCTTTGCTATGGAAATTGGTCTCTTTCCATGAACGACTCTTGTTTATCCATTTCGATTTTTTTTTCACACTCATAACTCATTTCCAGATGACTTGGCTGAGTGGCAGCGCCACCTGCACGCTTGATGCTCGAAATGAATAGCACGTGCACGTGTTTTGCCAGCTCCGCTTGATTGGAACCCCATTTACGACTACTACTACTACAGCATAGTTTAGGAACGGCTCGGGAGCGAGACAGAGACACTTCTCGCAGGGTCTCTCGTTATGGACGCTTTATCTTCATTACGAGCATTAACAAAAGTTTTCCTCGCGAGAGAAGTCGCTGTCAAGAGTACCCGAATACGTTTGCGGATGTTTATATACTCTCCGCCAAGACAACCGTGAACCAAGTTCAACATCAATTAATCATGTCGGCGACGTGTGACTTGTTCAACAAATTACCTTTTGGTGCCCTGATGTTATGGGCAAGGAGTCTGTCTATGAACACGTGTGGAGTTAAAAACATTGAGTTGCAGAAATGCGTGGCACTTGCTGCACCATCGCTCCCAGGGCACCAGGACCTCGGGCAAATTATCATGACGAGCACGGGTAGCATTTTCTTGGTTCTTTCGGTAAAGTCACGTAGAAGGGAAGTAATAAAATAATAAAAATAAAACATAATAAAACAATTCTCACGACGTTTCGGCCACAACGCAAGCAGCCGTCCTCAGGCGAAGAAGCCGTCCTCATTCATTCTTCGCCTGAGGACGGCTGCTTGCGTTGTGGCCGAAACGTCGTGAGAATTGTTTTATTATGTTTTATTTTTATTATTTTATTACTTCCCTTCTACGTGACTTTACCGAAAGAACCAAGAAGATGAATCCCTGCAGTCACGAAAGCTTTAAATCGAAATTTAACGGGTAGCATTGTTAGCTGAAGTTACAATTACATTGAAGTTGAACATTTATTATGAATTGGAATTGCATGAGTAATTCACCCCAGGTTT